AAAAGATTGATAAGATAAAATTATCAACAGAGCTGACATGGCCAAAAGCACTTAATGTATCAATTAATAGAATTGCCGAGGTAGTTACAAATTCCGTCAAATTTCGCATATAATTCCTTAATATCCCAATCATCATAAACATTTTCCCAAGGAATTAAATTATCTATAATCTGTTGCATGTTATATTTAACGATTTCCTTTTCTTGCCTATAAAGCATTCCATTGGTAAGCATACACCTTTCAATCTCTACTTGTTCTTTAGCGGTTTCAAGTAGCTTTGCGTAATATTTAAGCTCTATACCACCGTCGAAATATCCTTGAAGTTCCTCATCTTTTTCGAGCTCTAATTTATGACCTTTTAACACTTGTATCTCCCATCTTTTTCGGAGTTCATGTTGAATTTCTTTATACCAAGTTTGATTAATCCAACAAACTATACCTAGATTCTCTAATGAAAGTTTTTGGACTATTTCAGCGATGATATCTGGAAGTATAAGTGAGTTATATGTATGCATGTTATATTCTTCGATAAATTCAACGTACTTTTTTTTATAGCATTGAGTCAATATATTGAATATTTATTACTCTTGAAAAAAAATCTTAATAATTGATCTAGTTTCACGAAGTCTGGCTCACTTGGTGAAATAATTAGGTTTATTTGATTACTGGTATTGTGGTTTAAGCTTGAGCATCATTGCTCTTTTTTCTGCTATCTCTAATGTCGATGTCGTTCATTACAACGAAGGCAAGTAATTCTTACATTTTGACGATAATGTCCTTCAGCATCATCAAGCCGATCAACTGAAAATGACTGTGGATGGTGTTTGGGATAGCCTTGGAATAGAAGTGGAACACGACATACTTTACAACATTTATCTTGTCGAGTTGCAATTTCTATAACATCCTTTACTGTGAGTGAAGGAATGACATTTTCCTCATCGTTTTCTGCTAGAAAGAGGGGTTTCTCACATACTGTAGAATCTTCCATTAAATCTGATTTATTGTCTACCTCCCAGTCCTCGACTATCATAAGTGGCCTTGAAAAATGTCAGTTCTTTTTGCGGTCATCTAACTTGTAACGTCTTAATTTCATTTCAATGATTTGTGAACAAGGAGTTGCTTAAAGCACAGTTAGCTCAATATATTCGAGTATATCATTTGGTGATGCAACACGAATTAATTGATTCATATATCGTACACGATTGCAAGCTGTATATACAGCGTTATTAATCCAACCTCTCAAACTATGGTCTACAATAAAGTAACATTCTGGAGCCTCAATTGTTTGTCCTTGAATTCGATGAACTGTTCCCCAGCTAGCATATTTCTATTCAGCAGGAAGTTTGCGCAATACGATTTCAAGTGGCACGTTTACTATAGTACCAACATATGCTTCTATAATTTCAATGCTATCTGGAATTTATACAGGCTTTCCTTGAATACAATACTTATGTTTGATATTATCATCTGGATCGAAACGAATAACTGAAAACTCATTGGGAAAGTGCGATGCATGTGCTTGTAATAATGCACTTTTAACTCACATACCCATATCATTTGTAGAACAAATTCAGATGTCATTTGGAGTCCACTGGGCGAGAGCATTTTTCCATATTGTTTTAGATATAGCCTTATGAAATTCTAGTAATTGAGCAAGATCATTTTTAATCCACATACGTAATTTTAATGTCTTGAGTTTGTCGTCTTGTGCACAATAGTCTTCTATACACCAGATTACTTCGTCAGCTCATTCTGTAAGAAATTTATGCGGACCTTCTTTGTCACCCCATGGTATAAGTTGGCCAGGATCGCCACACATAATTATTTGACAGCCTCGGCTTTCGGCATAGGATAACAATCTCTGTAATACTTTTCTAGGTATCATGCATACTTCATCGAAGATTAGTATTTCAGCAAGTGTCTTCTTTCCGAGACATGCAGGATCCCACTCATCGATTGCAGTTGCTCCTAAATGGAAATACTTATGATATATCATGGCCGTTAAGCCTGAATTTTGTTTTCTATGATACTTGACAAGCAGGTTTGCTAGAGTGAGAACCACAATTTTTTGATTGGGAAATGTACGGATAGCTCATGTTGTTTTTCCACTACCTTCCTGGTCAACTAAGTATAGTTTTCGCAATGTAATTAGTTTTGGATCAGTAGAAAGAGGCGGAGCTTCACTTGGAGGAAACTCTAATGAGCCTTTATGATTAATAATCCAGGATGATGTTTCTTTACGATAGATATATCCTGGTTTTTTCTTACGCCACTAGCCATATTTGATTTCTAAAGTATCTAAAACAATTACAGACTCATATTGCTTTTTTATTTTATTTATTTTTGCATTATATTTTTATGAACCTCCTCTAATTCTATATCATTTTTTACATTAGTATAAAAGCTTTCATCAAAATTGATACTGAGTTTACTTTCATCTAAAACAGTTTCAGGAATTGTTGTTGTGTAAATTGCATCAGTACATACTCATAATATATTTTCAATCAGGAAGCGTTTTAGCTGTTCGAGTACAGCAATGTGAGTATAGGCAAGGATAAAAGAGTGGATATGCAACCATTGAGCACGTTTTTTATCCCCTTCATATTTTATTAAGGTTCCATGCTCATTATTGGTTCAGTTTGGTTGACACTTTTTTCTTGCTAACCATTGATGAATCATATCTGCCTCATTTTTGTTTCGAATTAAAACATATGTAACTTGTGCATTACAAGCACATGATCCCACGAAACGAATTGCTAAATCACGATCAGATGGAAATTCAATGCGAGATTTTTTGCCAATACTATATATGATTTCTCTTGGAGTTGCACTTATGAGCCATCCAGCACTAAGCAGGTAATCTATAAGAGGTGTTGGAATCCAGCCTTCCTTTTCTGTGAGATGTTGTCCAATAAGTTCTGCTGTGAACGGATGGAGATTTTTGGCAAATTCCCATGCCACTAGTTGAACAACACTAGTCAAGCAACAGACAGCTTCAATATTTTCAACACAGGCACGTCACTGTGTTCGTTCTAAAAATCTATATCATCGAACCCAGGGCAAAGCTTCAGATGCACTTCATTCTAAGTCTTCACAGCCAAGATATGCTCCACGAAGATCAATATGGATGTGTTTTGGAGCTGGATCTATTGGAGCGTTCCATACTATTGATTCTACTTGAGATTGTCACCAAATTTCAACAGCATTTCTAGATGTTGACTCGATACCTTCTCTTTCTCACCAGCAATGAAATCGATAAGATTGAGCACCTCCCAGGAATTTTTCAAGCTCATTATATTCTGCTTTAAGCTCTTGTGAAGGAATTGGTGCTGAAGAATGATAATATCCTCCTTCCATCCATCCATGAATATCTACCGGCTCCCATTTTAAAAGTTCTTTAGGTATGAATTGTGATTTTTCATATTCGAAAGCCTTAATTAATTTTTCCCATTCATGAGAACTACGATAGAGAATACCTTCATGTGTTAAAATTTCTTTACCTATAATCCATACCCTTGTAGCTTTCGGGAGTTCTCT